ACAAGGAATGCTCTAATTACAGGGGCATAGCGTTATTGAGCCTCGTTGATAAAGTCTACTTAAAGGTGCTAGAAAGGAGGTGCCGTGAAATAGTTGACGTCAAGATTCAAGAGTGATGTGGCTTCCGGCCCGGTCGAAGCACCTCTGACTATATATTTTCCTGCGCCAGTCATTTGAGAAATCGCCGGAGTACGCCCAGCCGGAGTACATGTGTTTTGTGGACCTTGAAAATGCCTATGACCGGATCCCACTCAATAGTCTGAGGACATGCCTTCGTGCATACGGGATAGATGGCCAGGTGCTAAGGGCCATCCAATCACGGTAATCTGATAGTAGGTGCTGCGTCACAGTTAACTGCATTAAGTCGAAACCATTCAACGTTCGCACTGGTTTCCTCCAAGGCTGCGTCTTCACCCTGTCCTGTTTGTGTTGCACACGAATAGGCTGGCTGGTCAAGAGCTACCAAGGCGATGAAGGTATCGGTGTAGGAGATGTGAGGTCGAGAAAGTTGCTGTTTGCAGACGACCCTGTTTTAGTAGCATCATCTGAAACTGATCTTCAGTGCTCCCTAGAAAGGTTCGCAGCCGAATGCGACGTGACCGGCATGTGCGTAAGGGGATCTAAGACGAAAATCCTAGTGCTTTCTCGTTCTCTTGGCTGTTGCTCTCTTCAGATTAACGGAGAGAAAGCGGAGCAGGTAGACAAGTTCAAGTACCTCGGAATTGTATTTACTAGTGATGGAAAATTGGAGGAAGAGATCGACCGGCGAATTGCAGTAGCCAGTGGTGCAATTGTGGAATTAATCCGCTCCATTGTGACTAAAGCAGAGCTCAGTCTCAAAACTAAGCTCTCAATATTCAAGTCGATCTTCGTCCCTATACTTAGCTACGGTCATAAATCGTGGACCATCACTGAAAAACTTCGAACCCAGGTACAAGCTGCTGAAATGGGCTTTCTTAGAGGAGTCGCTGGCCTTACGCCTTTAGACATGGTCCGGAATACTGACGTCCGGAAGAGCCTTGGTATACAGCCTTTGCTTGTCCAGATTGAGAAGTCACAGGGGCGATGGTCTCATCATGTGTTGCGAATGCCTCCAGAAAGGAAGGCTAAGCAGCTGTTCCTTGCAAATCCGACCAGCAGAAGGCAGAGGGGACGGCCATTATTAACCTGGTGCAAATATATGGAAGGAGTCTGTTCCAGACTCCATCTGTGTTTTGCCGAAGCTCAGACTCTTTCACAGGATCGGGAACGTTGGATGCTGTGTCTGATGCATCTGCCTCCGCGACTCCAAAGGTAAAGCGACGATGGAAGATGAAGAAGATGTGGGAAGGAGATGAACTGAGGATCACACCGTATAAGGGTTGGGTCTTCCTTTCCAGATTTCCACTCTCAAGATGTTTGTGCTGTTGTTATATGCTTTTAGTGAAAGACATATTTTAGGAGTGTAAAATAAGAATTGGAATGCGATATATGCTCTCAGCATGCGTGGCCTGATTTTGTCCGTTTGTGATGTGTAAGGTTGTATTCAGTAATGCTGGCGTTCACCTGCGTAGACTAATTTGTCACAACTGTAAATAAATGAAAATTTATTGATTTATGCACACATGTGTACATAGCGTTAATTACACAAGAGGATTGCAACTATCAATAAAACGATGTATATTTCAAACTTTACCGGTAAAGTTTATAAATAAGCAGTGAGAACGTCATGAAAATTATACATGGAGACGTAACGGAAAGAAAGCTCAAGCTCAAGCATGCTTACCGAAAGAAGCACAACGACAGTGAGGAACTGTGCGAATGCCAATCAACTGGAAGAAAAAGTGCACACGTATGATTACGTATTATGACGATGAAAAGCAATACGTTCGGAAAACGAACGACGTGATAAAAATGCCTGCAAACAATATATAAGTAAATATTATGAAAGGAAAATTGCCAGAAGAAACTACGGAAGGCGCTGAGAAAAGTAGTTGCAGACCATTACAAAAGTACCTACTGATTTGAGTCTGAACATGACATACCAAATGGCAAGGGGCATAACATAGGGATGAGAAGGAACTGATTACACTTATGAACAACATCGGCAAAAAATTTTTGACAAAGCAGCAGCTGAATCAAACAAGTGAGAAAGGGAAAAATGTGACAAGAGAAACAAGACCAATTACTGGAGCAAAGAGCGCAACATATGTAAGTCAAAGATTATTTTTTGGCAAAAACAGAAGATGCGGGGAATAGCTGCGGTAATTGTGGGAAAAACAAGAAACATTGAGAAAACAAAACCAGGGCAACGTAAAAAATATAACACACTACGAAAAGGAAAATGAAGGGCTACTTACGGAAAGACCTAGAAGGAGCAAGATAACGATACAAAAATAGTACAACGGGTGCTCTCGGATATCAACTGAGAAGCAGGATATGTATAAGAGAGAACATGCCAAATCGAACGCGTCGTAGGTGTTGCAAGGAACGGCTTACTCTGTAGTACGGTGTGATAGAATAAGGCACGACGGGCCAGCAACCGTAGTAAACAACTATGGAAAGGAAACATGGAGAGAATATAAACGGTGTCTAAGGGGAACTCAAAGCGAAACTTTTGGAAATAGACGAAGAAATGCAAAATAACGACACGCCGTACGCAGCAATAATCGCTTTAATGTTCGAAAGTGAACAATGATGAGAGGGAATAAATCCAAAAAGCATAACTTACGGACAACAAGCATGGTTCTTATGGTAAAGAACAAAACATACGTAGCAAGATGACGATGGCGACCGCAAATAATAAGAATAAATGCGACGGCGTACGTAATGGCAGGTTTAGACCCAAACATAAAGAAGCATAAGAGAAAAAAAAGGCAAATCAACAGTTTAAAGACAACGATGGGACAATGGGAAATTAAATTGAGAAGAGAACATGCCGAAAACATGAGAAATATAACTAAACAATCTCAAATGCTTACAAAAATTGACTACTTACCACATAGAGTAGGACACTTGGGATCGCCGACCGAAAGGAAACCACAACACCGGTATTGAAGCGAGGCATTATTGATGACGAATAGCTAATTGGCCGATTTGCACAGCGCTGCTTCTGTTTGGTTTACATTAGCGCTACCCTTCGCGGGAAAGGAGTAAAATCTTTCTAGGTCACCAGAGTTTCGTTTTAAGGTATGAGGTTTTCGCCATGCAAATTGCCGACTGCTCCAAAACGCGAAGGTAATTGTGAAATGCATACTCCTGCATTTCCCAAAAGGTAAATATTTTGGCGTCATTGTGCTGCCTTCCAATCGAAAATGGCATACATCTCAATTGTTTTCAAGACAATTTACAGCGTTCGCTACTATCCAAAGCGTTTAATGAGAAGAGTTGTGGAAACTCCAAAGTGCAATGAGAAGAGTTATGGAAACTTCTGTACTCCCGCTCATTGGCTATGCTTCCTTGGGTAGTTTTCCAACAATGAGTAAAGCAGATTTCCTTCTCAAACATTACGCCATCCCCGTAGTATCAAGAACTAATCGCATAAATTTCGAAATACCGAAAAAGTGAACTTTTAAACGACGCATTTCGCCGTCACATTGGATATTCAGAATCGAAACCAACAAACAAAGGAGATAATGCGTTCACATATATGCCCAAATTTAATGGAGGTCAAGATTGCCATTTCTCTCGCCGTGTTGAGTAAACCGTTTGAAGATTGACAGCGAAATGTTATAAAACGTATAGAGCGACCTGTTTATTTACATTAACGTTACAAGCAATCGTGATAATGATGTCTGTAATTGGAAAAGCAAGCGGACTGAGGCCTCGGCAGCAGCGCTCAACAAAAGCATGAAGACGGATAACATACGGACAAATTTAACCTTCGTGTTCCATGGCCACCTCTTCTTTCGGGTCGCGGAAGCAGACGCGTCAGACAGAGCTTCCAGTGTTCCCCATCCTGTACCAAAGTCTGAGCTTCGGTGAAGACAACCGTAGTCTGAAGCAGACTCCTTCCATATATTTGCTTCACGTTAATCTTGGCCGTTCCCTACGCTTTCTGTATGGCAAGAAAATTTGCTTTTCCTTCCTTTATGGAGGCATTCGCAACACAGCCTCAAACAGTCGCAGCTGTGACTTCTCAATCTGGAGAAGCAGAGGCTGTACACAAAGGCTCTTCCGGATGTCAGTATTCCAGACCATGTCGAGGCGTAAGGAGAGCGACTCGGCTAAGAAGACCCATTTCAGCTGCTTGTACCTGGGTTCGAGGCTTTCCAGTCATGGTCCATGATTCACGAATGTAGATAAAGATCGAC